CATTTTGTTTTCCATTTTGTTTCTCGTGTTCGCTTTGTTTTGGACCCGTAACACCCCTCTTCGATGAGGGACAAAAATAATGTTGGCATTGTTGTTACAACGGTCTGTAAAACAGTCATTATGATATGGTTCATGCCGAAATCACAAACTTAATCGAATCGGCTGAAAAATCATTCGGCCAATTTTTATCAGGTGTTCCAAGAATTAAAATTTATATAAAATTTATAAAATTTTATATGCATTTTCTCTTGTACTGCCAAACTTTACAATTTTTTTTTTTTATAACAATAACAATTTATTAATGAAAAATTTATTACATAGCACCTTTCATTATTCATAATAGATGGTAAGTTGTTAAATGCATAAATAATAATAAATAATACAAGCTTGATGAAAAATAATTACATTAGTCACGTTAAAAAAGTTAAAAATTTTCTTATTGTTTGTCCAGAGGATCAACAAACTCTTTCTTTAACTTTTCCCTTAAAATCCTTCTTAAGATTTTTCCTGTTGGACTTTTTGGTATTTGATCAGTAAAATAGATACCACCTCTCAATTTCTTATGCGGCACTACTTTTTCACTTATATGTTTTTGTATATCACTTTTTAATTCCCGTGTTTGTTTGTGTCCTGGTTTTGTTACAACGTAAGCAGTTGGATATTCTGTTAAACTTCGTTCAGAATGACACCCTATAACTGCTGCATCAGCTATCGCGGGATAAGTAAGCAAAATTGCTTCGAGTTCAGCTGGGGCCACTTGGTATCCCTAAAATAATAGTTAAACGGTATATTTATCAAGAAAATTAATATAAATTTTTTTTCAATTTAATACTCTACCATATATTTAATCAACTCTTTAACACGATCTATGATAAAGAAATTCACTGATTTTTTAAAAAATAATTTCAATAATTATACTAAAAAAAAAAAAAAAAAGAAAAAGAAAAAAGTAGACTAATGGTATAATATCAATTACTATTTTCATCAACACGAGCGATATCTTCTGTATGGAAAAATCCATCTTCATCAAAGGAAGCTTTGGTGGCTTCATCATTATTAAGATACCCCTATTTACAAAATTTATCACGGTTAGTAAAATAACTAAACCTAATTGTCAAAAATTAACGTGTCAAGAATTACCTTCATGACATTTGGACCACGAACACATATCTCTCCTTCATTAGGCCCTAATTCTGAAAGTTAAACCTGAATTTAATCTATATTCTTGATATTAAACATGATTGTAAAAAAATATTGCTTACTAAGCCCTTCTACCGACACTAATTTGGCTTCTACATTAGGAAGGAGACAACCAATTGATCCTATAGAATTATTATGTATATGAAATGTCTAAAAGGCAACAGGAAATCATCATATTTCTTTTTAACAATTATTAATAAATATCTACAACAATGTTATCTGAACTGCACAAATGAGTTGCTGGTGACATTTCAGTAAGCCCTAATAATATTACTATTAGTTATATAAATTGGTTTTCAGATTAGAAAACATATTAGACAAATTACCGTATCCTTGTTTAATCGGTATTTTAAGAATTTTAGAAAATTCTTTACTCGACTCTTTGCCTAACGGAGCTGCTGCACTGATTAACATTCTCAAACTTGAGATATTATAACGTTTAATAGCAGGATTCTTAGCCAATGAAAGTACGATTGGTGGAGCGACATGAGCGTAATTAATTTTATATTTTTCAATACAATAACAAAATTTTTCTATATCGAATTTGGGGATAACAATGGTAGAACCTCCCTTTAAATTATTTAAATTAATAATATAAAAACATGTTTAATTATAAAAATATACAAAAAAAATAATGTTTGGAAACTTACTACAATGACAGTAAGAAAAACAAGAAGGTTCAATTCATAGATATGGAAAAAGGGCTATAATAATAGAATGGTTATTTTAGAAAATTTGCATTTTTTACAATATAATAGATTAATACCCTATGTAAAAAAAATATTCACCAACACTCCCATAAAAATGTCTTCTGTTCCAGAATCTTTCACTGCAGCAAGCTGTGCCACATTTGCAACGATATTTGTATGAGTAGTTTCTACACCTTTTGGTTTTCCTACAGTCCCTGAGCTGTAACACAGGAAGGCTGTAGTCATTCTAGCTTCTTCCGGTGTATATGAAACAGGCTCAATAACGTGATCGCCAATTAGTGAACAGTAAGGTTGAAATCCATCGACTTCTTCTTCTTCAAACAAAAAAATTTTAGATTTTGGAATATTGGCTTCTTCCGCTGCTTTAACAACGGTGGAAAGATAGTTTGGATGTGCAAATATTATAGATGCGCCGGAATCAATCAATTGGAATGTAAGTTCGCCCACTTTATACAAAGGATTAGCTGGGGATACTATGCCACCTAAATTAATAAAAAAAAAAATCAAGGTATTTATATGAGTTCATTATTATAAATAACTAGTGAAAAGATTCAAACTGTAATGAATTTAAATAATTGGAATTTACCGGCTGCAATTGCACCAAAGACCACAGCATGGTAATCCACCTATATCATCATAAATATCATTCAACAAACAAGTTATTTTTTCTGAAGAACATTAGTAACAGAAAGAAAATCCATGATATTGCATTATTTGCCTGATTATGTGAACAAATTGCTAAAACATCTCCACGTTTAAATCCAATTGTTTGTAATCCGGCTGCTAGCTTTTTAGAATTACTTTTTAATTCGCCAAAGGTCACTTTCTTATCAGTAAGCCCATCAATCAATATAGCTTTATCGTCGGGAATTCCATTCGGATTACTTGTTCCATATTGATAAACTCCGACTCCGGGAATATCAATATCTGAATATTTGGATTTGAAGATCATTGGCGCGAAAGAAAAACTTTCTGAACCCGCAAATTTTATACAAGTATTAAATATGATGTTATCGTATAACTTTTCATTCATCGATTTCCTTTGAAAGTGTGTACCGCGTCATATGTTACATCTAAATAGGTAACGCAAATCTCGATTGTCGATGTATGCAAATCAATATCACCACTCTCATGCAGGCTAAATGAAGATCTGTGATGCTAATCTACCTTTGGATATAGACCGAGCATACACTCAATTAATAACATTTTAAACATACCAATTGTCAATTATAATTTTAGAATCTTTAGAAATTAGTGTTAATGTTAGACCTTAAAAAAAAGGGAAGCACAAACGGCAAATTGGCTATCAATTAACACAAATAAAATGCACAAAATTTAATAAAAGGCTGCTTTCGTCTCTGCTATATTTCCTTTTTGAGCGTTTATATTATACAAATTGGTCTTATCCATCTAATTTTAGAAGTTTAAATGGCTTAAGAAATCAATCGTAAAGCATTTTAGTTTTTATTTAAAATTTACCAGTTAGAATACATAATAATTAATAAACCATTTAAAAATGTAATTTACAATTTATATATCATGCATTTATCTGGATTGTATTTATATTTAAAGATTTAACACTCGTTTCGATAGATATAATAATATATATTATTTCGATAGATATAATAATATATAGATGTAATAAATTCATTATGCAAAAATTATGTCAAAACTGTTGGAAAATCTAAACTTGAAAAAAAGCTAAAATACGTAATAAGTAAAGTTATAAATAATATAGAGTTATTGGATGCGAAGCAGCCAATAACGGAAATTATTTGGAAAATAATTTCCGTTATTGGCTGCTTCGCATCCAATAACTCTATAATATTATAACTTTTAAAACTCGGTTCATGTTAAAATTCTGCTTCTACTTATCTCTATTTGTTAATTTTAAAGCAAGAAATGCCATGCGCAAAATATAATTCAAACACAGAATAATCATGATATTTCAATTTCTCAGTATTAATTTCTTGCCACCTATTAAAAAAATTAATCTTAAGTAAAAAAAAAAAAAAAAAAAGAATAAAATTATAATACGACAGGGTGAAACCCGCGCTACCAGTTAGTAAAATCCGCGCACCAAAGCTTTGAACGAAGATATCTCGATAATCACCTACCGGTAACTAAATTCGATGAATTTTTTCTTATTTGAATTCTGCGGATCCATAGAATTCAAACAAAAAAAATTTTTCATCAAATTTGGTCAGGTAATTGTTGAGATATTTTCGCTCAAAGTTTAGAAAAAATCAAAGTACCTATCAAATAGAATGCAC